CCGGCCGAACCGGGATCATGTATACCCTTAAGGGGCCCTAGAATCCCCTAAGGGCCCATGTTAGGGGCCCATGGGTTCTACCTTAGATTCCCCCTTAACACAGGGGCCTTGGGTTTTGGGGTTCCTCTTATAGGGCTCCTTAAAGGGGTTCTATAAGGGCTAGCTTCAGGGTTCTGTAAGATAGGGGCCTTAATATTTAGAGTAGGGCTTCGGGGCCCATGATACTATAACTAAAATGAGGAACAACAAAATAGAATTGGTAACTATTCGGGCACCTACATTACGTAAACCCTGACTCTATACATGCTAAGCTCGAAACCTTAAAACGCCGACACTCAACCTCAGCGGGCGCGCGGCTGCTGGGGTTGAAGATTCACGCGTTTACACAATCGCACCGGTAATGTCATGATCAAATCTCGATCTGGCACGGGTAAGTTTTACAATTAACACTACGCAAACCACGAATGAGGTGCCGGAAGAAGTAAGCTTTTTGCGCTCATGTTGCTTTGTTGACGTTGCCATAGTTGAGAAACAGCGGTCTTACTAGTATTGTCTTAAAGCACGCTGGTGAAGATGCAACTGAAGGATGAAGAACAATTACAAATGAAGAAAGTAGGGACCCCTAAACCCTAAACCCCTAAACCGTAAACCCTAAACCCTAAACCCTAAACCCTAAACCCTACAGTTAAGTTTTTAATTTAGAAACCCCCTTAAAACCCTAAACCCCGGGACAGCCCACAAACGGAAGGAGCCAGGAGGGGGCCTCATGGTCTAATGCAGGGGCCTACAAAAATTAGAACAGGGTTTAATTGGGGTTTAGGGTTTAGGGTTTAGGGTTTAGGGTTTAGGGTTTAGGGTTTAGGCAGATTCTTGTATAATTCTAATGAGGTGGTTTTTAGGCTTCTATACTAGGCTCTTGGCATGGTGTCCTGGCACCTGGGTTGGAATATGTTGCCGGTAGAGCCGACAAAGCGCACAGCTCAGAGCTGCAAGCTTTAGGATCTGGGTCTGTGCTTTCGGGGTTTAGGATCCTCATTGGGTTTGGGGTTTAGGGGCTACGGCGGGCGCCAGCCACTGGCCCTTTTGCACATGTCCGCGATGTTGGTATGTTGGTCAAAATCATCAGTTTCGTGCCACTGACACCACACAGGTTGCGGTCAGGGTGGTCCGAGAGACAGATGCTTCGGAGTCGAACGGAGTGGGAAGATTTCGAAATGGCAGCTTCCTAATTGTCCTGGCGATAATTAAGCTCGTGACAACGCACGGCTCGCTTTTAGCCAGAGATGAAGCCACGGCCACGATAAAAAGAATAGTATATTATAGAGAAGTTTACTATGATATACACTTGTTGTATATCAAGGCAAAAAAAGGAAGAAGTATATCCGCCTTGGTAGCTCAGGTGAAACGACTGACGGACCAGAATCATAAACGGCCCACAGAGATGTTAGGAAGAGAGGAAGACCGCGTGCAACTGCACGACGCCTCCCAAAGTATTCCAGGTGAAACGATGTGCGATGCTGCAGCCGTTCTCCAATGTCTTCATAGTACCCAGGTCTGGAAGGGCTTCAGGTGTAGGATTTTCCTAAAGGCCAGCAGGTTCAGCACCTCCAGTGTAACAGAAGAGCTGGGGAAAGCCTCTGCCACGCGTGAGAATCCAACCGATGTAGGTGAGACAGATTCCCGAAAGAGGTTTATGCCGGGTTAGTCAGGACTTGCTCATTCAACCTTTGCCGTGGCTGAAGCAGTCTAGATGAGAGTCCATATTAGATCCCTCATTCTGCGAAATTCCTTACATGGGTGGTACGCTACGCTGCTATACTGAAAAGGCGCAAGGATACTGTAGGGAGGTTAATAATTAGAATAGGTGTTTTTTGTTGGGGGGGGGCTTTCTTATTAAAACTATAGTATAACATACTCCAAACCCTGTTCTACTTATTAAGGCCCCTTTTTTTTAGAACCTTATCATAGATCCCTTATGGAACCCTTTAGGTATCCTTTTAACCTCTTTAAAGGAACCCTATTCTAGCTATTATTTATGGCTCCTATATGGGGGTTTCCGAAAATAGGGGACCCTAATATAGTACCCTAAATAATAGGATCCTTATGATAAGGACCCCAAAATAAGGTACCCCTAATTTTCGGAAACTCCCATATGGGGTCCCTAAACCCTAAACCCTAAACCCTAAACCCTAAACCCTAGCAGCCTCTCAAATTCTAATTATTATTTATGGCTCCTATATTACTTACTGACAGCCCGGCCTCGAGTCCATCCTCGACAGTGCGAGCACGACTCAGGAGAAGCTCTTTGGGGATATCCGTGCACCGAAGCCCAAAGAGGGGTCTCCTAAAAACCCTAAACCCTAAACCCTAAACCCTAAACCCCTAAATGAGGGGTACCTAATCTTGGGGTCCTCATACTCAGGTTCCAGGATCCTACTATATGAGGGTCCCCTCTTTTCGGAAACCCCCAAATAGAGGCCGGAATGATTGCAAACATTGTTCCTCAGGTTATCTTCCTATTCAATGTACAGTAATATCAACGAAAACCCTCTTCCAATCGTTACGGCCTCCTATAAATATCAGGACAGCTGTTGATAAATCACAGGCTCTAGTCTGTGCTTCCTTCAGCATGGGCCGCATCGCCGCATGCTTCCTCAACCTCACGGGGCGTTAGGGTTTAGGGCTTTCGGGGTTAGGGTTTAGGGGTCTAGGGTTTAGGGTTTAGGGGTCTAGGGTTTAGGGTTTTGGATTTAGGGTTTAGGGCTTTATGGTTTCGGGTTTAGGGTTTAGGGTGGCCTTAACATTGTTTTGGGTTTAGGGTTTAGGGGTATTGGGCATGGAAAGAGCAGATGAATTAAGGAACCTTGATGAAAAGCATAACTGATGACCCAGGCTTCTACGATACCAAAAGCCAGAAACCTCGACGAAACATCTGCTGCGGGGACCCTGGGGCATTGGGGCTTTAGGGCCTATCAGGGTCCGGCGCGGGAAGCTACATGGGAACTTAAGGGATGATGTTCTTAGTTTAACTAGTGGGGTTTAGGGTTTAGGGTTGAGGGTTCAGGCTTTAGGGTTTAGGGTTTAGGCTGTAGGGTTTAGGGTTGAGGGTTTAGGGTTTAGGGTCTATCGTTGTACATCTCGGCTGGAGTGAACGGCTCTAACCAAAAAAACCCTAAACCTAACACCCCGAACCTCAGACTGAACATGAGAAAGAACAAAAAAACAATAAACCCCTCGAACTCCCCGTTGAAAGATCCTTGAGTCAAGCCGGCCTCCGTAAGGTGGTCCAAGAACCTGGGCTGAGGCTGAGGCAAGCTGACCCAGAGAGCGTAATAGGAAGCTAACTCGGCCCGAGTACAACCTAAATCTCACAGACCCGATACCCCATCAACACTAAATCCGCCCAGAAAAAGCGTACAGTAAGCAATATACCTTCCAAGAGAATGTCAGGAAAGTTCCCTCGTTTGAGGGGTTTCTGGACCGCCAAATCCAAAACTCCAAAGCCTTGGAGGGTTCCCTCTTCAAGGCAAGGGCTCCTTCAAGGCTTCCTTAAACGGGTTCCCTTAAGGCTTTTAGGGTTCAGGGTTTAGGGTTTAGAGTTTAGGGTTCTACAATAGGGATTTAGGGTTTTGGGGTAGTTCCGGCTGCTGCTGCCCAGGCACACTCTGCTGCTTCTGTCCTTACTCTTGTGAAGTAGTCCGCGTGAAGGCTTGAGGGCTTAAGCTTGTCTACGGCCTGCGCAGGAAATCTTTAGTTGCGGAGCGCAAAGCTCTAAACCCTAAGCCCTAGACTCTAAACCCTAAACCCTAGAACCCCAACCCTAAACCCTAAACTCTAAACCCCAAACCCTAAAACCACATGTGCTTGCAGTTAAGCCCAGGATCTGCGTCTTGCAAGGCGTGGTATGCGGCCTCACCTTCATTGCCCATGCTCGTAATATAGGGGCCTTAATAATTAGAACAGGGTTCATTTAAAGCCCGTATTTCGCCAAACAGAGGCTGTCAGTGCCAAAGCAAGAAAGCTAGTCCTACTGTTGATGATATACATCCTGCACTACCTTAAGGACCCTAAACTATGGGAATTATGGTATATTCCTGATTATGGGCCGTGCAGGATTTGTATCATCAACCGTATGACCCAAAAACGGTCGTAAAGAATGCAGGGAGAGATCCGACAAGTTCGTGAAAAGTTGGCAATTCGGCGACGAAGTTACCTTCTGGTTTTCATTCAAAAATCTCCTCTTTAGAGCGACGAAGTTACCTTCTGGTATTCATTCAAAAATCTCCTCTTTAGAGCGACGAAGTTGCCTTCCGGCTCCTCTTGGTGGGCTTCGAGAAGTCGCTTGCGACGTGCCACGAGGGCCGCCAGACCTCCAGACTCTTCAGACTCCTCCTGGGGGGAGAGGTTGAAGGTTGCCAGTACAGAACTTAGCGTAAGATGCCAACCAAAAGGGATGGATAGATGAATGTTGGATGGATGGATGGATAGATACACAGATAGACAAGCAGGTACACATATAAGTAGACATGCAGTCAATAATGTATCCTTCCTCGTTTTGGTAAGGTGAAGACCCTGAACACGTACTCTGGTCTGCAGGTTCAGAACATTTCTGGCCTTCGGTTTTGTGTTCGGTCTTAGTCCTTTCACGGTTTGGGGTTTTGGGTTGAGCACCGCGAGGGTCTGAAACAGATTTGAGAGTTTGCGAAAATAGGGGACGCTAATAGAATACCCCAGATAGTAGGCCAAAGCCTTAACCCAAAACCCTTAACCCAAAAACCCGTAACCCAAAACCCTTAACCCAAAACCCGTAATCCAAAACCCTTATCCCAAAACCCTGAACCCTGCACCCTAAACCCTAAACCCTAAACCCAAAACCTTTAACCCAAAACCCTTAACCCAAAACCCTTAACCCTAAACCCTTAACCCTAAACCCTTAACCCTAAACCCTTAACCCTAAACCCAAAAGCCTTAACCTAAGACCCTTAACCCAAAACCCTTAACCCTAAACCCTTAACCCTAAACCCTTAACCCTAAACCCTGAACCCTAAACCCAAAAGCCTTAACCTAAAACCCTTAACCCAAAACCCTTAACCCAAAACCCTTAACCCTAAACCCGTAACCCTAAACCCTAAACCCAAACTCGAACCTCACGAGGTTCTTCAGGATGGTCGGGCACGTAGCACCGGATGTCCACCGCGCCCTCGGAGAACGTGACCCGTCGTCGACGAATGGGAACCAAGGCCTCCTGCGTTCAGAGTTTAAGGCTTAGGGCTTTAGGGTTTAGGGTTCTTATTTTTATTTTAGGGTTTAGGTTTAGGGTTTTAGAGTTTAGGGTTTATAGTAGCAGCCCATAGTTGGAAACCCGATAGCCTCAATCCTTAAGAGTAGTGCAAAGGGAATTCCAGCACTATTTGTCCTTAATCCGGTTTCCAACTTTTTGGGGTTTACTATAGGGCCTGGGGCTTTAGGGTTTAGGGCTTTTACTTTTATTTTAGGGTTAAGGGTTTAGGGTTTTAGGCTCGGATACTGAAATATCATTGTTTAACCTGACCCAAATAGAATCTCCTAAGTTGGAAACTTAAGTTACACTTGAGGTTGCGAGTACTCTTGGGATTTAGTTACATGCAGCCCGAAACCTCCATGCTCCTTTATCAGCTCGGCACCCCTTGAGGGTCCATATATAAAGGGAGGGAGGGAGGGAGGGAG